TTTATTTGAGTTTTCTATATTTCGGAGGCGTTTTCAATGAAACAATTATTCCACTCGCGCTTGTTGGATACGAAATGATTATCGCCAACTCGGCGCTACGCGCCTTGTTGGCTATCTATTTAGCAAATAAACCCGTTCAGGCGGCTGGTATGTCGGCAGATAATGCCCGCGGCTGAGAGATTGTCCAAAAAACGAACATTTGGCCGAGAAGCGAAGCTTCGAGGGCAAATGTGAAATTTTGAGGACAATGTCTCAGCCAAGGGCATTATCAGCCGACATATTAATTTTTTTATAACCCTCCCATTAATTTTCATATCGCGCGTAGACTGCTCGTAAAAAGCCACTGTTGATGTGATGGCGAATGTGCGCGATTGACGATAGCAAGTACATTTAATTGGTGTCATTAACTTTATTTCCCATGTAATTGGACCAAAACCTTGATAAACTATCGTGTAAATAAACCCTCGCAACTCCCCTTAGATCAAACCTCGAAAACTCAACGCTTTTTAGCTTATACTCGTTCGTTCGTATTTTGTTGCACTTTGCACTTTCCGAAACAGCATTTGCGAACACCTTTTAATGTCATTATCACCAGACTCTATAAGACGAGTTGTGTTTTTCCCTGTACGTAAAATAATAAAGATTAAAAGTCGAAACTTCTTTCACGCTGGCTTTGTTTCTTTTCGACGGAAGTAATAGCTAGTAATCGGAGGACAAATATCGACGCAGGTGGGGTTATTGCGTGATAAATGTCCGGTGATTTACGCCATGTGACGTAAAGTAACCAACAAAATCGCGAGAAAATTAATGAGTGTGTTGTAAAATACATTATCCAATGATGCAGTGTTTATTGTAACATAGCGCGCGCTAGTCCTATCTAATTCCTATTGAGCCATCATGAACAAAACCTCTATGTACGCACGGCTCTGCGCATATAAGATGACGTGCGCAGTTTCAATTTAGCTGCAAAATTTCCGTCGAGTTTAGTGCAAGGTCCTTTTGTTTAGGTTTCGGCAATGTGAAGATTATTCTCAACAATCCAAACGGTACTTCGAGCTTTTGACTTTTTCCAAGCTAAGATGTCTACTTAAACGTGAGTATTTTGACTTTGTTTGTCTACATTTTCATAGAGTATGTTTGACTTTGTCTGCCTACATTTTCATTATCATTAATTCAAAGAAGCGAATTTTTTATTGACAATTTTAGAAACCAGGTTAAGCGTTTTTGCTCAACCGTTGCCGTTAACTGATTGTGGCGTGTTAGGATCCTAATGACCTTTGCTTTTCGTCACCGTGCATTGTCAGAACTTTGTAGTGAATCACAAATAAAATGTGTTTTAGCACCCAAGTTGTTGTCGCCATGTTATAAAAGAATTGGTTCATACTTTTAGCTGTGTGTATATCGAGTTATGGATGCACTTGGGAAGTTTTTAGATCACTCGCCTCGCTGTCGCCTCGAGCAACTCTTACGCTTCGTGCTCTCCAAACTTCCAAAGTGCATCCATAACTCGATGTACGCACGCTAAGCATGAACCAATTGTTAATTAATCACTGATATTACTATACTATCAACTACAGCTATAGTGTCACAACCGTGGCATACTTGTTTACGACGAAGTCACTAAACCTATTGGTGGCTGTGGCACGGACATTTAAATTCCTAGGTCTCAATGCATAGGCGGCGGAGCAAGGGAGCAGGGGGGCTGTAGTCCCCTCCCCTCCCCTCAAACCAAAATTTGTGGGGGCTCAGCCCCTCCACGTTTTAGTCTAGAGGTCTTGCTTTGGGCCTGATATAGACTGTGGCAAGCTTGGCCATCAGTTTCCCCTCGTACATGATGTTGTAAAAACTGCGCTGCCCGAAGTACGTCAGGTTACAAATATAAATGTATTTTCCACTGGTATGTAAGCAATTCTTTGCAGAAGTATCTGTGGCACCTTTTCATTGGCTATTGCATTCCATATATTCATTAGCACGAGAAGCTTCTTTCTCTCTCTCGCATCCCAATTTCCGACGTGTTTGCCTTTTGTCTCAGTCGCTGTGATGTCTGACTCGAAATGTTGAGGGGACGAAAGAGAAAGAGCCACCAGAGAATTTAATAGCGTAGCTCTGCGAAGCACCATAACTATAGGAAGAGAACCTCGTGCATGAATCGAATAGAAATAGAAAACCATGCAACTCTTTTATCATGGTCAACGTTAACATGGTTAGCGGCACGGTTCGCGGGCGGGAGCGCCCAACGACGACGACGACGACGACGACGACGTCGCGCTACATGGCGGCCATACTCCAGCTAAAGTCTTGGTTTACAGCGCACTGATCTTTGATATTTGAAATCCATGTTATGGTCAATTAACACCTGTCAAAAAGGTATTCGCTGACCAGTATCACCTGACTATATCGCAGGCTCAGGTTTAGAGCTCATCGAAGTCATCTTTTTTAAAGTTGACCACCGACCAAGTACTCGTTTTCGATTGGATCGTGGACTCATGTCAGGTTAATTTTGTTGTAATCAGGGCCGGCCTGTTCGGAAGCTAGTTAACGCTAACCCAGGATTGAAAGTGAACCAGAGTATAAATTTTCCTTGTATACAATGTTTTTCCCGACTTTTAAGTCATGAGCTCCTGGTCTAGTTTGAGATTATTCAAACTCGAAACAGAAGACCAAACAATATGTATATGTAATCGCTTGGGCCCGAGGGCGTAAGGATTAATTTCACTTGCATTTTCAAAGTTTTCACAAAATTGCCCGAGTCGCTAAGCGACGAAGGCAATTTAGAAAACTTTGAAAATACAAGTGAAATTAATCCTTAGTTGCCCTCGGGCCCATGCGATTACTTGTTTATCGCATAAAGGGTAGAATTCTGTACAAAGGAAAACTTTCAAGGTCTTGCCGTCGCGTAAACAGGTTTGCCGGTTGTTATGCTTATCTCACTGGGAAGTAAAAGAAGTAGAAAACGTGTTTATGTAAATGTTGGTTTGTGCAATTCAGATAATCAATGGCCTAGATAACCAAAGAACGTTCCAGATGTTTACAATATTTTCCGGCCGTTATATTGCTGCTCCACGGAGGTACTCTAATATGGCGGCTCTATACTGGGCTCTGTAAATTTCTGACGCTTGGGATAACGCACAGATCTAAAACTTGGAGAAGTGTCTTCTTTATTTATCTTCTATAAGGTCGCATTTTCTTGTTTCCATCCACCGAACGGCCTTTAATTTCTTTCTTCTTTTAGTGCGTGACAGTGAAAACGATCTGTAAGCAATATTTTGGGGGCTTACATGTCTGGCTGCCAGTCTGGCTGTCTTTGCCATGTCTCACAAAGTCTAAGGGATATCTCTGTACTCCTATCCCATCTCAAGTTTAAAGTTTCAACTTGAACGTTCAAGTCCCAAATTGCTAGGGGTTGGTCCTAGGTGAAGAAAGTCCATCTGCCTGGTGGCTTTCAGTCAGTTTCTGCCATCTAGCTTATCCTGGGTTAGCTTATTCGGGCTTGGAACAACCCGGCCCTGAGGTTTCGCTTTTAGGCTTGGCTAAATCTATACATTATATTTTTCAGGGATCCGGACACAAGGAAGCAACGCAATGTATCAAAATGTACAATATGACAAAGGTCACTTGGTCCCAGGAGCTACTTATTCGAAAACTCAGCAACGCTTTGATTCCACTTACACTTACACATACACAAACGCCGTTCCACAACATAACACTTTTAACGGTGGGAAGTGGTCCCAATTTGAGAAACGCATACGGAAGTATGCTGAAAAGACGTGCACCAAGCAACTTAGGGTCATGATGCGCGGTAAACTGCAGCTGCTGAGACCTGGAACGTTGTATCTTTTAACCGGCACTTCCTTTGCCAGAATTCAAGAGCTACAGAACGGCGACCCACAGGGATACTTTCCAGTTGGAGCTAACCAAATCGGAACCATAGATACTGGGAAGATTTTCGTTCCCAATTCATTGTGGACCGCTGGTTGCTGTGTACGCCAAAATGGCCAGTTTACCAGAAGTTTTGCAGTGATGGGAAATAATGTCGAGACTTTCCACCGTAATTTTCTCACCCGCCAAATAACTGTGGCACAGCTGCAAACTATTCTGACAGCCGACGTTAACCACTTCCAACTCAACAACAACATCGGCGGACACAACGTTGATCTGTTTCCTGCTGATCAAAATTGCTTGAATAACGACCTTGGAGTCCTTCCTAACGCGGGCGTAGGACGCTAGAGACTTAAGAAAACAATGTCACATCATCATACCGAGCAACCAACAAACATCTGATGTATCGATTCAAGATCAAATAAATAAACTGAAGTACTCAACGGATTAAAAAGAATTGATGAAAAGAAGAGTAAACTGAAGAACAATAAATTCGAAAACATTCAGCAGAACGTTGTAAACTATGTAAAGCTGCTTGGCACAGCTATGGAAATTGGCTAATAACTCGTAATAAAGGAATTTTTTTTGTCATGCTGATGCCTTCGATTTCCTGTATTAGACAATGAGCATCGCATTTGCTAGTCCTATGACAGTTTCTAGGTCACGTTTAGTATATAGCTTTTCGCATCCCGTGAACGTGGGAAATGTATACCCGTAGGGTAGCTGACTGACATAAGAGCGTAAGTCGAGATAACCAAGGCTTGTTTTCTTATACCTGAACCACTTGTTTGCAAACTGTATAACACCTCCCTTTACTAGATGAATAAAGTAAATAAATAACTTTATTTTTAAAAATATCAACTGTATTTGGCACTGCTATATTACACAGGGGACCCGAACACTACACCAGCTGTAAAAATAAATGTACTGTTCTTTATCTGTGTTCCTGTCTTTTTTAGTCGTTTAAAGGGGATTTGAATGAAGCGAAAACCTCCTTCGCTTCATTCAAATCCCTTCTAAACGACTAAAAAGACACAGGAACACAGGTAAGGAGCAGTGCATCTATTCTTACTGCTGGCTTAGTGTTCCAGTCCCCTGTAACTGTTATGCTAATTGGGGACACCTTGAATAAATAACAAAAAATATTGCTAGTGGGACATAAACTGCCGGGGAGGGTACTACCAGAGAAATTAGGTGCGGGTGTGTGGCCCACTTCCCAAACCCATTGCCCTATTTATGACCAATATCTGCGATTTATGACCGTTGCAGTTGGCACAGTTGCCCTACACATAATTTATAAAGGGTTTTTACTGATGGTCTTATCGATGATAATAATGTAGCTTCTTCTAAAAGAACATACCCAGTTCAAGACAAAAGTGCAAAATAATAAACCCATACCCTATTTATGACCGCAATGGTCAAAATCGATGCCCTATTTATGACCAAAACAGCTGAAAAACCATACACTTTGGAGCCGCACATACCTATATAGCCCATGTATGGGAGTACCCCTCCCCCCTCGGATAAACTGTTGCGAATCCCAACTAGTGAGAGGCTGACCAGTTGACTATACACTCGCGCGGTCGACTACCGAGATCAAATCCAGATAGCGGTAGTGGGTAGAACTCCAGATTTAATTTTCAAATCCGGCCAACCCCCTAAACCACTCGGCCACGCCGCCTCCACATAATGATGCTTTCAGTTTTGTTCGCACAGATATTGTCTGCTCCAGCTTGAAGTTTGTCGAGGTCTGTGATAGGTAATATTGCTGTGCAGCGTTCTACACTCAGAGAGAGAG